ACTCAATGACTCTTTTAGTAGAGAGGCCTGGTAAAGTGCTGCAGCCACTGTTTCCCATTGCTCATGTACGCCCTCTAGTGTTTTGTAGTCAAGTTTTTAGAATAATGGGAGAAACAGGAAGGGGCCTGGCACCTCTTAAACGGTTCTCTGATATTGTTTCTCTGATATTGTTTCTCTGAAACGTCTAGCCAAACTTCTGCCAAATTCGAAGTATGCGTGTGAGTTTGCCTTTAATGCTGATCAAGATATTTGATAGATGCAGTCTTTGGTCATAAACTGTTATATTTGAATGTTTTCGGTGGCCAACCACTGATAACTAACTTCTGCATGTCAGTGTGTTTTACTTGTTCATGAATCGTGTGATGCTGTTGGGATTTTTGTGGATTCAATGTTGTATATGATTGTAATGTTAAGACTAATTAATGATACATCATTGCTATTAGGAATGCTTTTCTCCTATCAGCTCCATGTCAAAGCTATTTATTAATTTGTATTAATTCCTCAGTTTTTTGATGCCGGTGGGATGTTTTGTAGCTTCTTTTCGGATCATCACCGCTCTGGAGTGTTTTCATTTATTTATTTATTTATTTTACCTGGTGTTTGATTTTTAAACCCCGGTCACATCGCGGCTCCAGCGGCCCTATAAGGAGCTTTCACGCTCTCTGGTTTGCTTTAGATGTTTAATTCCCTTCTCCTTTGTGTGTGATAAACCCGCTCAGATCTGTCCTGCCACACACACCCTGCAGGACGCTTTAGAGCCAGCTGAGCTGTGACCAGCTGCCAATCAAAATCAGCGCCACGGAAACCGCCTCAATGGAGCAAGGGGGTGGGGAGTGGGGCGGGGGTGGGGGTGGGGTGCAACACTCTTCATCCTTTCTTTTTTCCTCCTGTTTCTTCTCTTCTCACAGAGAGAAGGTCCCTCTTTCTCTTTGTGTTCTTTCTGTCTTTCACTTCTCTCTCTTTCTTTCTCTCACTTTCTTCTTTCTCTGTCATTCTCTCTTTCCTGTTTCTCAATTTCCTACCCTCTGACCCTGTCTATCCATCCTCTCTATCTGTCTCTCTCTCTCTTTCTATCTGACAGTATATTGGTCAGGAGTGGAGATATGGATCACTGACCCATCCAGAGGATGGGACATGCACTGCTGATAATGAGGAGAGAGAGAGAGAGAGAGAGAGAGAGAGAGAGAGAGAGAGAGAGAAAGAGAGAGAGAGAGAATGATAAACAGTGTGAATGACAGGGGGACTCTGGTGGTCTCAGGGCTGGTGTGTGTTTGTGTGTGTCTGTGTGTGTGTATCTGAGTCTGAAATGTCAGCGTTGATATCAGCTTCGCTCCCAGTGCATGCTGGGTACTATCACTCTGACACAGCTGCTTAACCTCTCTCTCTCTCTCTCTCTCTCTCTCTCTCTCTTTAAGTCTGAATATGTCTATGTCTGAATCTGTGCCCTATTCCCAGTACAGTGTGCTAGTTTGAGCTATATATGTGACTTTGCCCTATTCACTGTATAGTACACTAGTTAGAGCTATGTTTGTGACTATGCCGTATTCACTGTACAGTGCTCTAGTTTGAGCTATGTGTGTGACTTTGCACTATTCACTGTACAGTGCTCTAGTTGGATCTATGTCTGTGCACTAGTTTAAGCCATATCTGTGACTGTGCCCTAGTCATTGTACAGTGGACTTGTTTGAGCTATGTGTGTAGCTCAAATTGAGGCAGTCAGGGGCTGGAGGTTAGGGAACTAGCCTTGTGACCAGAAGGCCGCCGGTTCGATCCCCTGAGCCGACAGTACATGATTGAGGTGCCCTTGAGCAAGGCACCTAACCCCAACTGCTCCCTGTGCAGCTAGATGAGCTGAAATTTCCCCATTGTGGGACCTAATAAGGGTCACGTAATCTTAAACTATGCCCTATTCATTGTACAGTGGACTAGTTTGGACTTTGTCTGTGACTATGTCCTATTTTTTTTCTTTTTTTCTTTTTTTTCACAAAAAAAATTACCTTAGCGAATTCTAAAGTTTGGATGTTGTTCAAAAAAATCATAATATGCAATGTGTTGCTTTCTTTATTATCAGCATTCTTATTATTATCAGGGATTTTCAGCATTGTGGTGATGATGCACATCCATGTCAGGTCAGCACCGGTACTGTGCCAGAATCTAATTGGCGGAGATTTCCCAATGCATTACCTCTACTGCATCCCCAACCACATACTAGCACACTAAATAGTATATTAAAAAAGTGCACTACTGTGCTGCTTGGGATTTTCTGAACTTGAGAGCTTTGCAGGTTATATGGATTCAGTAAAGCTTATCAAGATTTTTGTGTTTTTTGTGATCATTCAAATCTATTTTGCTTGGTCTTGATCCACCTTTGGGGTTGTACCTGCATCAACGGTGACGAGACAAGCTACATCAGAGCATAGTTACTGTGTGCCTACCAAAATGGTGACGGGGCTTCTTAATGATGTAGGCAAAAACTGTGAACTCACAATCCTATGTAGTGATGTCCATCTCAGAACTGTGGCGGTGTTCAATGCTGTGTCATCTGAGGGGTTGAAAGCAGCAGGCATTTGGTTGTGGTACATGCAATCGTTAATTGAGAAGCTGTTGGAATATTTTCTATTTTTGGCAAAGTGGCAAGCCTCAATCCTTGCTCATGAAAGACTAGGCCTTTTCCTGGATGCTACTTTTATGCCCAAGCATGACAGCATCACCTGTTTAAAATGTTTTTTGAACATTTCACAATGGCGGCACGGTGGCGCAGTGGGTAGCGCTGTCGCCTCACAGCAAGAATGGCCTGGGTTCGATTCCCGGCCGGGTGACCAGCGTCGTTTCTGTGTGGAGTTTGCATGTTCTCCCCGTGTCTGCGTGGGTTTCCTCCGGGTACTCCGGTTTCCTCCCACAGTCCAAAAACATGCAGTCAGGCTGATTGGACATGCTAAATTGCCCCTAGGTGTGAGTGTGTGTGTGGATGTATATGTCTGTTTGTCTGCCCTGCGATGGACTGGCGACCTGTCCAGGGTGTATCCTGCCTTCCGCCCGATGACAGCTGGGATAGGCTCCAGCACCCCACCGCGACCCAGAAGGATAAGCGGTTTAGATGATGGATGGATGGATGGACATTTCACAATGTCCCTAGTCTTAAATTGCTCCTATCTAAATTTTTCTGGAACATCGATTTCAGAATGAGCGTATGTTTACTGACAAATAATATTAATATTAAGTTAAAACATTAAATGTTTTCTTTTTCACTTAAACACAGGTCGAAGTGGATTTACAAATCACATCTTTCTGTTTTTATTTGCATTTCACATACTGTCACCTGCTAAGTTGAGGTTTCCACACAATTGCATGTATTTTACTATGCTGGGTAGACATGTACACACATTCTCTCTCCCTCTCTCCTTCTCAGACAGCTTGTCTGTCCATCTGTGCCCTCCTCCACCTCTCAGTCACCTTCCTTTTGTGTGTGTGTCTGTGTGTGTGTGTGTGTCTGTCTCCTCTGGATGATGAATATCTTGGCTGTGGGGTCAGTGTCAGTGTGGTCAATCGTGCGCATCCTACACACATACACAAACACACACACACACACAAAAACACACACACACACACACGCACATGCACACACACCTACAGCACACACAGCAGTAGAGCATCAGGCTGCTATATAGCCACACACACTCACACACATGAATTAGCTCCCTATCACTCCTGTTGATCACTCTGGGAGGTGTGTGTAAGACAGACGAGCTAGAAGTGTTTGGATATAAGCATGAATAAGCTTTATTGAGGCTTTCCGACAGTGCTTTTTTCTTGAGTTTGTCTTGCTGAAATAAGCAATGCCTTCGCTGGAAAAGACGTCATCTGGATGGCAGCATATGTTGCCAAAATATGTATATATATCGTTCAGCATTAATGGTGCGTTCACATATGTGCACGTCATCCATGCCATATGCACTAATTCACCCCTATACCATCATGAATGCTGCCTTTTGAACTGTGCACTGATAACAAGCTGAGTGGCTCGGAGGACACAGTGTACATGATGTCCAAAAAAATTTTAAATGTAGATTGGTCAGACCACACTTCTCCACTTCCCCTCAGTCCATTTTAAATGAGCTTGGTCCCAGAGAAGGTGGCGGCGTTTCTGGATCCTGTTTATATACAGTTTCTTCTTCGCGTTTTAGAGTTTTAATTAGCATTTGTGGATGCAGCGACAAGCTTTTTCGTAGACATTGTTTTTCAGAAGTGTTCCTGAGCCCATGCTAATGTCCGCTACAAAATCATATCTAATGCAGTGCCGCATGAGGGCCCAAAGATCACGGCCAGCAGATGCTGTTTTTTGGCTTTGTCCCTTCCATACAGAGATTTCTCCAGATTCTCTGAATCTTTTAATGTTATTATGGACCATAGATGATGAAAAGCAAAAGTTCTTTGCTATTTTACATTGAGAAACGTTATTCTTGGATTGTTGCACGCACATTTGCTCGCACAGTCTTTCACAGAGTGGTGACCCCCCCTCATCTTTACTTCTGAAAGACTCTCCGTTACTGACCTGTTGCCAATTAACCACCAGGTGTTTTTTTAGCATTACACAACTTTATCAGCCCCCAGTCCCAACGTTTTTTTTTTTCCACATTTAGCACAGCGTCCCAACATTTTTGGAAATGGGGTTGTACATATATATACATATATATATATATATATATATATATATATATATATATATATATATATATATATATATATATAATTTATTTGCCAAGTTTATTATGTTAGAAAAAAGATATATATTCCACATATAGAAGATATATATTCCAAAAAAAAGTGGTCCTCATAGGTCAAGGGTTCTAACATTTTCATTTCACTACATGTTTAACACATCAAAGCTGTGTGGACGTGTGTCTGTGTGTGTGAGAGAGAATGATTAATTCAGTATCTCTTTGAACTGAAGCTAACAATGTGTGTGTGTGTGTGTGTGTGTGTGTGTGTGTGTGTTGCAGGTGAAGTGGGTCCAGAGGCAGAATATACACTTCAGAGAGAAAAGAGCAGCTCTACGAGGCCTAAAGAACAACACACTCCTCAGTGAGTGCAGTGTGTGTGGGTGGGTGATGATAGTGAACAGAGACAGGAGTTTCAGTCAAATTTTGTATTTAAATTTGTAAGTTAATATTGAAAAAAAATCCTAAATAAATATTTGTAAATGTATATTTTTTTGTCTGTAATTTTTTGAAGTTCAACATAGGAACTACAGTTTTTTTCAGAGCTGATATATTTTATATTTTGGTTAGAGTGAGATTTTAGAAGACCACACCTCCCTAGTTGATTTTCTGTTGTTATGGGAACCGGCCCCTACTGATTTACAACACACACAGACCGGCAGTGAATGACTAGCTAGCGTGATCTTTTTGTATTCAAGTAAACCGTCGTTGACGGTCCAGAGTGTTTTTAATCAGTGAAAACTAAGCAGTAGTAGGAAACTTCATGAGTGTCCAGATTCATTGGTAGGTTGTTTTATAAAAATGCATGAGAAATGTTGAGTGTGGCATGAGATTAGACTGAATTACATGAGTCTCACTGCCAGAGCGTGAGAGTTGGCAGGCCCCTTTATTTCAATTTACATAAAGAAAGACAGAACATCTAACGTCTTAGAAGTAGAGAAATGCCAATTGTCTGTTAGCTCTTCTAACATGACTATTCTAATTGCACTGTAACTGATTTCACCTCAAACCTTTTAGGACTAAAGCAGTGAACATGTAAAGAGTTATATTGCAGTAAATCTATATTAATACAGGCCAGAATTAGCTTGAGCTATGTATCTGTGCTTTTCTGCTGCGCTTCTCATCCAGTGTGCGGTAGCCTTTAGCCGGCTGCAGCAGTCTTTCTATGCTTCCTTCTTTGGTCTAAACAGATAACAAACTCTGACCTATATGTAAGATGCAAGCTCTACACTGCCCTCTGGTGGAGAACAGAGAGACACATTTCTCTCTCTGCTTCTTAAATTAGAGAATAAATAGAATCACACATTGAATTGAAGTATTTGATCTCTTAAACTTTAATTATTATTAATACTTGGATATTGAAAAATTCAGACTCATCCCTACTAGTGACTGTGTGTGTGTAAGTTGAATGTGTGTGTGAGTTTTTTTTTCGATGTTGTTCCATTGTTCTTAAATAGTGATAGAAATTTTGTTACTTTAGGGGGAGGTGTGCCTTTGTGTGTGTCCGTGTGTGTGTGTGAACACTGTGTGTGTGTGTGTGTGTGTGTGTGTGTGTGTGTGAACACTCACGTAGCTCTGCAGTGAGCCTCCTTCACAGAACAGACAGAAACGTGCTCTCTTCACCACAATGACGCCTCACTTTCAATCTGCAACTCAAAGAGAGGGAGAGAGAGACAGTGAGAGAGAGAGAGGGAGAAAGAGAGAGAGAGAGGGGAAGGAGTGATAGAAAGAGACTGGGAAGGAGAGAGGAAATGGAAGGACTAAAGGGGTAAAGAAGTATAGGAATGAATACAGAGACACTAAAGGAACAGCATAGAGGAATAGAGGGATGAGTACAGAGAAACTAAGGGACGAGTGTAGAGAAATAGAGGAAAGAGTACAGAGAGACTAAGGGAAGAGTAAAGAGAAATAAAGGGATGAGTACAGAGAGACTAAATGAATAGCATAGAGAAATAGAGGAAAGAGTACAGAGAGACTAAGGAAAGAGTGTAGAAAAATAGAGGAATAAGTACAGAGAGACTAAGGGAAAAGTGTAGAGAAATAAAGGGATGAGTACAGGGAGACTAAGGGAAGAGTGTAGAGAAATGGAGGAAAGAGTACAGAGATACTAAGGGAAGAGTGTAGAGAAATGGAGGAAAGAGTACAGAGATACTAAGAAAAGAGTGTAGAGAAGTAGATGGATGAATACAAAGAGACTGAGGGATGAGAACAGATATAGTGATTAGTGTAGAGAAATAGAGGGATCAATAGAGTGATACTGTGGATGAATGTAGAGAAATAGAAAGGTGACTAAAGAGAGACTGAAGAAGAGTACAGAGAGAGGTATTAGTGTAGAGAAACAGAAGGATGAGTACAGAGAGACAGAGACATGAGTGTTGAGAAATAGAGAGATAAGTACAAAGAGACAGAGATGAGTATTAAGGAATAGAGGGATGAGTACAGAGAGACAGAGAGATGAGTGTACAGTAATAGAGGGATGAGTATGAGGTGAGGGTAAAAGAATGGGAGCTAAGTGAAGGAGAGTTATCTGGATGAGCCAGTACTCACTTTGAGCTGGTATGGTAAGGATATGCGTATGGTAATCACATGCTAATAAGATGCTAATGAGATGCTAATCTTGGAGTCGTGTTCTCTATCAGCAGGAGAGCGGATTTCAGAGACCCTTCACACACACACAGACACACACACACACACACACAGACCCTTCACCACTGGGTGGAGAAGAGACACCTCTGGATCACTTACGCACACATGCACCGCACACACAGAGCAAGACAGAAACTATTACACATGCTGTTGCTAGCAATGAATGAAAGCTAATGGGCACCATTTAGCATGATGCTAACCGTCGAGTAGCAGCTGCTCTAAATGTTTTAGCATAATTAGCATTATGAAGAGTATTTCTTTAATATTCATTAAATATATGCCCGAAACAATCTGTGTGTTCACCTTTATATCTTTTACTCTCTCACCAGAGTTTGCTGAGCTTCCTGGGCAGAAGCAGAGGAGGCAGGGTTTTGGAGAGACTCCTCCTGATTCCTTATATTTCAACGACCCTCTGTGGCCCATGCAGTGGGAACTGGTACGTCACTTTCACTGAGACGTGCTCACTTATTCAGTAACTGCTATACATTATTCAATAACTACTGTGAATTATAATTATTGTCTTTTTCCTATATTAAGTGCTGACACTGAAAACTTGAGAACGGCCTGAAAAAGATCAGACTGTCAAACACAGAAACCAAGAATTTGTGATGATATTAAAAAAAAGAGATATCTGTCTAGAGTCAGATGTTAAAATAGGCAGACTATGCAGAGAATAGCGGTGACTGCTAGAAGAGAAAACCATGCTGTGATACTGAATTCCCTCCTTTGGCGTGGATCATCATAAAACACGTTCCCATCAGCAGCAAATTGAATCATTTGAAAGCGGACCCAAGTATGCATGGAGTGTTCACCTTTGTCAAAATAGACTGAACTAAAGAAGAAGTTTGATAGATCCCCCATGAACAAGATGAGAGACAAGGTGAGATGCACTCTAAAAAACTCTCTAGCTCGCTGACTGTCTGCATCGTGTGCCTGTGGCTGCATTGTCTCAAACTGATGGGGTTTATGTTTTTATGACTTTAAGGGGTCAATAGGCGATATTTAAGTCCATAAAAAATTATCTTTGAGGCTACGTTCACTTTACTAGGCTGAAGTGGCACAAATCCATTTGTTTGCCAAAATTTTGATTTTGACACATATTTGATGTTTTCAGAGCAGTGTGGACATGCAAACGTAATTTTTTCAAATCAGATCTGAGCCACTTTGGCTGCGTTCACATTACAAGCCTCATTGCTCAATTCCAATTTGTTGCTCAGATCTAATCTTTCTAAAGAAAAAGGGCCAGATGCTTGTGCACCGTTTACTGGCACTAACTTCAGGTTCAGCCCTGTTGCCTTATTAGTGCTGAATGATGTCACAAAAAGACACATGAATTCTTATTGGAGCTTTCTCTTTAAGGTCAAATGGCCACAAATTGGATATGCATCCGATCTAGAATCTCATATGAAAGGCCTTGCTCAGACTGCCAGCACAAATCTGATTTTTGGCATATCCAGATTGTATCCAGATTTATTTATGATAATCTGGAGGGCAAAAAAACACATGAAATCAAAACTACATTTGAAGGTGGTTTGAAATTTTATATATGCATCTTAGTCTGGATGCTCTGGCTGCACAAATTGGATTTCTAAGTGTCTTTTCATCACTTGCAACACGACAAACAATGACAATGTCAAATCCAGAGTGATGGAAGTGCTGGGATTCAAGATCACCAAAAATTCATGCTTATGCCAGATAATTTTGGAGGGCAAGATGATGCACCTCCATATTTCCTGCACCCGCATTTGAAATCTGTATCACCAGCATAGCTACATAATTACAAATGATAGTACAGACAGTCGTCTCAAAAGATTGGATTTGAGAAACAAATCCGATTTGCCTGCAGTCTGAACATAGACAAAGTGCCTCAGATCTGATCTGAAAAGATTAAATTGAATGTCCATACAGCTTTGAAAACATCAGACCCCTCACATCAAGACAGAAAAATGGTAAAGTGCCACTTACTCTGGCAGTGTGAACATTGCCTTTCATATGTGGTCCTGATCAGATACATGACCTTAATGAGAACGCTCAGACTGGAATTCATGTGTCTTCTTTCGCTGCACATGCTCCATAGCTCAGCATTAACAAGGCAACAGGGCTGAACCTGAAATTAATGCTAATACACGATGCAAAAGCATACGACCCTTTTCCGCTTTCGTCTTGCTCTAATAACAAACAACTGAAAGCTGATCAGAGGAAATTATATATCCGACGAGGGCTCGTTGTGCTGGTTAGTTTGTTGTTCATGACACACGTGGTTCATTCACTTGACGTTATTGATTAGCATGTGCTCATGTGGGTTGTTTCAGAACACAGCTATGTCTACATTAATGGCAGATGTGAGTCAGTTACCTACACGTACATATTTCCTCAAAGTAAGAAAGATCAGTATTTTTTATACGTAACCACAGGTCCACACCCATGGCTGATGCCATATTTAGATCATGTGACAACAGGGAAGCAAACTTGCTGTCACTTTAAGTTATTCAGTGCAGTTCCTGACAGGTGGTGTATGGAAAAACGATCATGAAGGATCATTATTACTCTTTACAAGCAGAAATGACGAGGTGTCACCAGCAAGTTATGTTAGGCAGTGTAAAAAATGCAAAATAAATGAAGGACGAAAATGAACAGACCAGTGTTGGCAAAGAAGCAGAGTAAACACCAGCGTCTAGTTTCTATTCTGCAGCACTGATGTAATAGTGGTAGATCCTAGTATGGCATAGCAACAAGTTTCTCAACTGCTGGGCCTTGGACTGCGAGTTGGTCACAAAGCACATCTTGGCCCAGCGTTGAGAAAACTGGCCTACAGAGAAGGCCTAGTGACAGTTAAACTCTGCAAATGTAATTTAAATATCCTAATTTCTTTGTTAAATTTTTGTTGGAAACAAAAGATGATAAGTATTTAGGTAGATATCGTCAATCGAGTGCTCCCTTTGGTTAGGACTTCAGGAGCTGAATTGAAGGCCTAATGCATTAGATTAACCACTAACACAACTAGGACAGTGACAGTGGAACCAAACAGTCATGTTTTGATTTTCCATTGGGTGGGATTCAGTGAGATAAAACGTCACTCTAAGCCTTCTGTACATCCAAGATACATCACTGACTGCGAGTAGTGGCCTGAACCAATGCGTTTCAGTCAGATGATAGAAATGGAATACAGCAGCAGCAGCTCTGTGCCAGGATTCTCACTATGAAACTGCTACAAGGTAAAATATATGTTAATATTTCTGTTACAAGCTTCAAATAAAAAATAGAACATCTCTTACAAGCTTCAGATGTCTGCGTTTAATCTAGAATGGCCCAGAAATGTTAAAATGCATTAACGTTAGCTTAGTGCTAACATACTCCTAAAGTTGCAAAAATTAGCATAATTGTAGAGGTGTTAGAGGTCCACCTCTGATAGTCTCTGGTGATTTCAGTATTTGAATAGTGGCAGCTGAAACAGTATATGAACACCTGTATCTAAATAGTATAAATGTAATGCATTTGCTGCAAAGTGTGTGTGTGTTTGTGTTCATGTACACTGGTTTGTGCGGTGTGAGTGAGTGTGTTTATTTCTTTGGGTCAGTCCAGCTTCATCTGCTCCTGCTTTTCTTCTCCAATACAAAACAGCTGCACTCCCGCTGAGCCCTATTTTTATCTATTGTGTTTACTTTCTTTTTCTTTCTTTCTCTCTCTGCTAGCAAAACAAAAATAAAATCGCCAAACACTCTTTTTAAATATCAGATTGTGTGGATGTGAATTGAAAGGCTGGCATTTCCAAAGGTTTCTTTTGTTGCTCTGTGTTTTTTGCTGCTGCAAGAGAGTAAGTGCAGGCAGATGAGCTCTGTCTCTCTCTCTCTCTCTCTCTCTCTCTCTCTCTCTCTCTCTCTCTCACTCTCTCACTCACTCACACACTCATTCATTCTCTCTCTCTCTCTCCTACTCTCTCATTCCACATCTTTCTCTTTATTGCTTTCTGTTGTTCCCTGTTTTTCTATTTTTCCTCTCTTCCTCTCTCCACTGTCTTTTTTCTTTCTTTCTCTGTCTCACTGTCTTTTGTATTTTTTCTCTCACTCTTTCTTTCTTTCTTTCTCTTTTCTCTGTCGCTCTCTTCTTTCTCTCCTTTCCTCTCTCTTTCTCTTTTTTGCTCTTTTTTCTTTCACTTTTCCTTTTTTGTGTTTTCTCGTTCTCTTATCTTTTTTCTTTCTCTGCCTTGCTATCTCTCTGTCTCTCTCTCTCTCTCTGTCTCTCTCTCTGTCTCTCTCTCTCTCTCTCTCTCTCTCTCTCTCTGTATGGGGTGTTTCAAGCTGCTGTTTTAAAAGATATTCCTCATTGTCAATGTCTTTAATGTGTGTTTATCATGCTCTTTTGCTAAAGGCATTATGTGCACAAACACACACAAGCACACACACACACACACACACACACACACACACACACACACACACACACACACACACACACAGATTCAGTTTTGTAATTTTTCTTTCCCCACCACCACTAATCTTTGACAATCCTGTATTCTTGCTCTTGTTCCTCCATTTTCTAAATTTAGTTTTAGTACTGCACAGTCAACAAAGTACTTTGTATAGCTAATAATAGTAGCAGCGGTCATCTTGAAGCTTGAATTGTGTTGATATTTTTATCCGTTTTTATAGATAGTGTGTCATGTAGTGCCAGAAACCACATAGGCAAATCTCTTTGATTCAACAACATGACACAATTTGAGGAAAGTGTGATGATTTAAACATGCTTGTACGTCACTATGCCAACTTGTTAGCTGCATTAGCCTCTGAGCTCCAGTGCAAACCTAAAGAAGCAGACTTCAAACACCAAACCTGTGTTGCTTATTCAACTACATTTGGGGTAAAGCCTTGGGGCAACTATTGCTCTGTGGATGAACTCAGTGCAGCCTTATTGTGTATAATGTTACTTAACATGACCTTGATTGTATAACCCCATTTCCAAAGAGGTTGGAATGCTATGCAAAATGTAAAAAAAACAGATGTCAATGATGTGCAAATCATTTAAACCCTGTATTTCATTGAAATAGTACAAAGACAACTAATCATGGGGGCATATTTATCACTGTGTTTTATCACCTCTTTATTTAACAACACTCTGTATGCATTTGAGAACTGAGGAGACCAACTGCTGTAGTTTTGAAAGTGAAATGTTTCCCCAGTTTTGCTTAACATAGGATTTCAGCTGCTCAACAGTTCGGGGTGTCTTTTGCCATATATTTCATTTTATAATGTGCCAAATGTTATCAGTCGTGAAGGTCTGGACTGCAGGCAAGCCAGTTTAGCACCCAGACTCTTTTAATACAGAGCCATGCTGTTATAATACATGCAGAATGTGGTTTGACATTGTCTTGCTGAAATAACCAAGGCCTTCCCTGAAAAAGATGTCATCTGGATGGCTGCAGATGTTGCCAAAACATGCGTATATCATTCAGCATTGATGGTGCCTTCACAGATGTGCCAGTCACCCATGCCATGTGCACTAATGCACCCCATACCATCATAAATACTGGCTTTTGAGCTGTGCACTGATAACAAGCTAAGTAGTTTTTAACCCAGTGTCCATGATTTCCAAAAAGAAATTCAAATGTTGATTCGTCAGACCACAGGACACTTTTCCACTTTCCCTTATTCCATTTTAAATGAGTTCAGGCCCAGAGAAGGTGGCAGCATTCCTGGATCCTGTTTATATATGATTTCTTCTTTGCGTTTAAGAGGTTTAATTGGCATTTGTGGATGCAGCGCTGAACTATTTTCATAGAAAGTGTTTTTCAGAAGTTTTTCTGAACCCGTGCAGTGACTTCCACTACAGAATCATGTCCGTTTTTAATGCAGTGCCATCCAAAGGGCCAAAGATCATGGCCAGTAAATACTGGTTTTTGGCCTTGTCCCTTGCATACAGAGATTTCTCCAGAATCTCTGAATCGTTTAATGTTATTATGTACTGTAGATAATGAAAACCAAAAGTTCTTTGTTATTTTATGTTGAGAATAGTTATTCTTGAATTGTTGCACTATTTGCCTGTGCAGCCTTTCACAGAGTGGTCAACACTTCCTCATCTTTACTTCTGAAAGATGCTCTTTTTATACCCAGTCATGTTACTGACCTGTTGCCAGTTAACCACCTGGTGTTTTTTTAGCATTACACAACTTTACCAGCCTTTTGTTGCCCCCGTCCCAACTTCCTTGGAACATGTTGTTGGCATCAAATTCGAAATGGTCATTCATGTTTCAAAAACAATAAACTTTCCCAATTTCAGCATTTGATATGTTGTCTTTGCACATCATTGCATTTTGTTTTTTTTGCAGAGTCCCAACTTTTTTGGAAATGGGGTTGTATTTCTGTTAGGTAGAGAATGGATTCCTAAATTGGTTTTAGAGACAAACTATGCTGCAATAAAACAACAAAATAAAAAAAAAAAAATCAAAATGGAAAAGCTCATTTTATCTTGAGGCGCAAACTACACACAATACACACGGTACATTTCTAAACACGTTCATTGATCTGAGGGATCGATGACACATAAGTATAGAGAGCTTTAAAACTGAAAATAAACCTCTAAACGAAGACCAGGACCCTTTCTGTAGGATATTGTGGCTTATAACTCAGCAGGCAGAACATACAAAGCGGTAGGATGCAGCCTATTCCTGATAGCAGTCCTATCGGGAATCCTACTTAAATGTGATTTTGCTAATTATCTGTGCAATTAAAACAGTAATGTGAAAAAAAATCAGCATGTTTTGGTGTAAAATATAAATATTTATTTGTCTTTTTGAAAAAGTAGAAAACACTCTTCTTTGTTAGATTATGGGCTCTCGCTTTCATGCATCTTCCAGGCCCATCTTTTTACAATATCTGGAGCTTGAAATTAAAAATATATTCACAAGAAATGCTTTATGCTTCTAAAGACCTGAAAGATTGACCGAGGTAATGGCGGATAGCAACAGTTGCTAAGCAGTGATTAAAGTCCTAAGAAAATGTGGTGGGGCTTGGGTTGGACTACCACATTATAGAGAAGAAGAGTGTCATGATTTTGATTGGCCACAATATAAGGACAACACAGAAAAATGAAATGTTTACAAATCTTAAAATGTTTACAAAATCTTAAAAAAAATCAGCACCTGCAACTAAAACATTTAATTATCCAAAAATTGTTGTGTATATTTTAAGCAATTTATTGTCTTGTCATACCTCCCTGGCAGGCTTGATTACAAAAACTAAAGTCAGGTTATCTAATTGGTTCTGAAAACAAATCTCTTGAATTAAATATTTCTATCAGGTATGATTGCATAACCTGTTAAAAGGCCAGGGCTCACCGGTGGGCTCAAAGTTGTATTACACACTTCTATAACCTAGAAATAGCTCAGGCAGTTTACATTGAAGTCCCTGTAGTTACTGAATAACAAGCCTTAATAAGCCTGGGACTTTTAGGGGTTAACCCCTTAACATCCCTCATTACATACTGAAGCTTATTATTCAGTGACTACATGGACAACAATTCAAACTGGCTGAAGTATTCTTAAATCTTAAGGGGTTAAAGTAAAATTATTTGTCATTTATTTGTTATTGTTTTGAAGGAAAGTTACTGTGTTGACCTGTGCTGGTTGAATAAAGACGTTAGCAAGTTGACAAGCAATATGTTTTCCAGATGCACTGTGCCCTACTATGGCTAACCAGTGCAACACTTCCTTATAAAGCATGTGTCCACCTAAAATCAGACAGTTGAGATGTACATAACAAAGATGAAAACACCACCAGCAAACTGAAAAACCAAAACTGTAGAGCATCCTAGGCTAAAGCATACTGCCACGGCAGGCATAGAAAATGTTTTTTTTTCACTTATATCTTACTTTTGAAGAAGATGGTTCGCATATCACTGCTTACAACGACGCAGCAACTTTCCTTCAACTTGAGCTGATATTTTTATTTGTGTTTGCCTTTGAAAATAGGCTCTACCATGTCAAAGTATCAGGTCTCTTTTATAGATCTCTTAGGCACATCTTTTGTATATCTAGAGCTTCAGATTCAAAGTCCATTCATAGGAACGCTAGCTCACTGCTGAAAAAAACCCTCAACCATACACCCATAAAACCTGTGGGTTTATCCAGGCCTGCTGTCTGATCAAACTGGGACACAGAGGTCTGATTTGGAGTTGAATTTAAAACAACATACAAATGTGGCTTGAATCTGATTTCATGTGGCTTATTCTGAATGTGGACAATCCTTCCTGCTCAAATTGGATATGCCAAAAAATAGGATTTAAGCAGAATGTCTAAACAATGCCTTTAGGACTAAGGAGTCCCAAAACAATTCTAAAGAATCCAAGGACAATAGGTATCAAAGGTATTAGTGGATCATGGCGTGTGTGATGAATTAGAGGAAAACTGAACAAATGTGTGAGTGTAAATATATTTTGTGTTTGTGTGTGTGTGTGTGTGTTTGTTTGTGTTCTTTTCCCTAGTTTAACCGTGGTGAGGTGAGTCTCTTCGACCTTAACGTGATGCCAGTTTGGCTCAGGAACATCACTGGCAGAGGGGTGGTGGTCAGCATTATAGACGATGGTGAGTACATATTGCTCCCTTCTCTCTGCAGGTGCTGTGCAGTTAAACCAGAGCTATTAACCCTTAAATGCATGACTCAGTTCACTAATGACTCATGACCTCACCCCCTCACCTCGTCCATTTTTTTCAGACAAGTGTCAAAGCATCTATCAAAAATAACCATTTATTTTATTTTGTTATTGGTTGGCATGGCAGTAGAAATGTATGGAGAAACATATGCACTTAAGAGATAAAACAGAATAGATGACTATAAGATACCTGGCAAGAGGAAGGGATTGGTACAATGTGACAAAGATATTGCAAATTCTGTTTCAACTCTAACGTATTGAAAATTCTGGCCACAACTTACCACAAGTTTAGAGACTTACCTGAAATTCTTCCAACATTACTGGAAATGCTGACCGAAATATCACAAATATACCCAACTTGTTTCAGATCCTGACCAAATGTACTGCCAATTTTGAGCAAATGCACCACAAACTCTAACCAAAGTTATCAAAGATTCTGTCAAACAATTTGGCCATACTGCCTTAACTACAAAGTCTCATTAAACTTAACACAATTATTTTCCAGATGTACTACAAACTCTGACTAAACTTCCTGTAGATTATTTACAGTCTTATTATAGATCCAAACTCCAGCTAAACGCATCACAAACTGACCAAATTTACTATAAATTATGAGCAAACTCCCCACAAAATTCAGCCAAGATATACCACAAACTTTGTCCAAAGTTGCCACAAATTTAACCCAACTTATTATAGATCATGACTAAATGCACTAAACTAAACTTTCCAAAAATTTGACCAAACTTACCGCAGTCTATCCAGATGCTTACCAAAAATGCTTTCCAGATGCTTTCCTAAACACTTACCAATCTACTACCAAATTACTCCAAATTTACATTAAAATCTGACCAAATTTACCATTACCAAAATGACCACTGATCACATAGCCTTTATAGTCATATAGTCATATTGCTGTTAGGCTACATTATGGAATTCACACATTGTGATATTTGACCTTCGATGTTGTGTTGTGACTGAACTGAGGAATATGCTACTAATGCAGTTTAAAAAAGGACTGAGTATTGTCAGCAACTTCACGCAATGTTAAGTATCATGATAAAAGTGAGTTTGGGGCGGCTACTCTGTGTGTTTTTTCTATTTCAGAGAATTAGTTTGCCACATATAGGCCCTGTGTACAGTAGATTCCAAATAATTCACACAACCATAACCATATTGATTCAAGTATCGCCAAGAGCTCATTCACAGTATGATGGCATATCAATATTTTAATCACAGCCTGTTCTGAACAACAAGCCAAAGTACTCTCTACTTTTGCTCTCTATCACATTATAACAATCACTCACAACAGTGTATTATCTTTCTTCTTTTATTTAATTAATGCCTTTATTTAAGGCCTGGACCTTTCTAATGGAAACACCTTTATTCAAACCAGCTGAGGCAATTTTAAAACGCTATAAGGCTCCTCATCTGAGAAAATGAAAATTTTCTCTAAATTCAAGGTGTTCGTCTCAGCTCTGTTAATGCAGTCTTTTCATTTCCCGGGGTTTGCACAGATAGAATACTCTCGCAAGCCGGTTTCATTTGATCTGCTAAACAGCCTGCTATCATAGTCCCGTAGAGCCCTGCCAGGCCTATTAACACACATCACTCTCCAAAAATCAGCACTGTTAGCGGGCACGAGGGAAGGAAAATGGAAGAGGAGGAAAAGAGAGAAAGATCTAAGAGGTGGGAGAAAAAGAGGAAGCGAGGAGGTGAAAATGGAGGAGCACATAGAGTGAAGAAGAGCAGAGTGAGAGAAAAGTGAGAGATCTCTGACTGTCTCTCGCGCTGTCTATCTCTCTCAGTTCAGACAGCTAACAGTGCTACATTTGTACTGCCAAAGTTTAGGTTACAAAATTTGGGGATATTAATGAGTACACTTCAAATTTGCAACATTGCAACTGGCAGAATTACCCAGAAAAGTCATGGAATTTCCTTAGACTTCCCCCCATGTGGTTCATCCAGGTCCGGATCAGTAGATTTCATGATCGCGTGGCCAGGGGCTGTTTTGACTCACAGTGGGAACTTTACTGGAGGAACAGCAAAAAAGTATTAATTTGTCATTGTGTCACAGACGACCACAGTCACGAAGCTCTCCGCGTCTTTCCTAAACGCCTGCTTCATTTTCTTCTCCAATTACTTGAACCTTTACCATTCGCCATTACCTTGGTCAAGTTTCCAGGTTTTTTAGCAGTGAGCTAGTTCATTTGAATGTACTTTAAATTTGAAGCTCCAGATATTCAAAAGATGGGCTTGGAGGATCTGTAAAACTAGACCTGATACTGAGTAGAGGATTTTCATTTCCAATTTCATTTCCATTTCCGGTTTCCAAAGCCAAATATAAAATGTCAGCCACCTGAGTTAAAGAAAAAAATGCTGTGTCCTTGTCAGCAGTGATCTGCAAACTATCAACTTTCACACGCTAAGTCATTAGAGCTAAGATAAATAAGGTTGTAACACAGAAGAACCCTTCTTGGTGCTATATAGAACCCTTTTTAAAAAGGTTCTAGCTAGAGCCATATACAGCACATTTTCCATCAACCTAAAGAACCTTCACAATGCAAAGAACTCTTTATTATGCAAGGGTTTATGTTTCTATATAGAACCATTTTCTTTTCTAAAGAACCCTTGAGGAACCTATTTTTTACGTGTACTTTCAGCTCTCCAATTTCATTTGATAGCATCTTCATTTGAGTAAATGTTTTGCTTGTAAAAAAGCAGACGCATGCTTTATTGAGAAGTGTTGCATTGGTTGTTGGATTAATGTTAACCTGTGTTCTCATTAATGTGTGCCTAATATTGTTGTTCTGTCCTGATTGAAAAAAGCATGTGTTTATAGCGGTGCTGTGCAGTTAGTATGCTGCCACTTTGGCGCTGCATAAGCCTTGTCTAACCTGCTGACTCACTTACCAACCCAAAAGGTAGCTAGGCAAGGGCCCACTGGATATTTGTGCCCAGGGGCCGATAACACGATGATCTGAGCCTGATGTCACCACAATTGAAACACTGAGGAGTCTACATAACAAAAAACACTGCGAGACCCGAGAGTCGTATCTGCGCACAGACTAACTTTAATACTAACATGAGCTCAAAGGTAACTTTCAGGACATGAGCATTGAAAACACTGGAGAAGATGAAATAGCAGCCAAATGAAAGAGATAAACACACTGCTGCTCACACCGAGGCCTGCATGACTAGTTTCTTCACTGCAAGTTACAGCGATCAGTCTGCACTGCAGCTGCCCAAACAAACATTAACTACCATAGCTACATTAAGGAATGAAAGCTACCTGCTGGGGTACCTCACTGTCGATGCATATATACAGTTACTGTTGTACTCTGGGTAACTCCAAGGTGTGAACTGACTCTTACTGCATCCATGTCCTAAATACTGTAAAAATGATCTCAAACGTTACTGACATTACGTCACTGAGAAAAATCAATAGCCTAATAAATACATAAATACATGATGTATCACCCAGCACTATGCTAACTATTTGGCATGGACGAGCCATTTATGTCACGGAAAAGTCATGGAATTCCACTGTTTGAAAAGTGTATAAACCCTGTAAAGAAAGAAATTACTAATGGGCCAATAGAACATTTTGATGTTAGATTTTAATATGTTTTCTTCTTCTGTAAAGTGTCTGGTGATAAACAAAAACACATTTACTGCTTATAGCACTAGATACAGTACTGTGGAAAAGTAATTTATTTAATTTCCAGTCAAAACGGCCATCCGTTTATTCATTTTTCAGCTTAAGGAAAAGAAGTAGAAAACATAGTTGCCTGAAGATTACACAGAAGTCTCAATAATTTCAGCATTCAATTTCAGGGTCCACTCTTCGCCTTTACTACAGGTTCCACTCTTTTGGGGGAAAATCTGCAACGCTTTTAAAAGTTCAGACTTCAGAATTGGTTGCATTTTCTGCTTTTCATGATTCAAGTAATCCCAAACACATTCAGTGATGTTGAGGTTTGCTCCCTTGTGTTCTTCTAACTTCTAACACGATAATAATGTATTTCGATAACTTGTTATATTACTTGTACCTTATTTATCTCTGTTATTATTTATTCTAATTTTACGTAATATTTTTAATGGCAAAAACACACTTACTGCTTAAGTAGGTTTTTGCACAAGACTGACAACACTGATATGCTGTATATATCAATCAGTGCTGTTTTGTCAAAGTAGATTTCCATTGTGCCGGCAGAATGGTCACTATGAGGCCTACAAAAAGAGGTTAAGTGTACTTGCGTTTCCTTTACTCTCAAGCTTGCGATAGCTTTATTGGTGTGAATTTATCAGGTACAATTTTTGCAAAAGTGGATAATATAGCGTATAATAATATTGTATAATAATAATAATATTAATAACAATAACAATAACAACATCAGCAATGGTAGCGACATCAATAATAAAAAATAAGAACTAGAGATACGTAATGATATTGGAATTATATTGATTGTTTGTTGGAAGCCAATCAGTCATGGCATACACCTACATTTATATATATAAAATTTATATATGTAAAAAATTTCTGAAAGTTGTCATATTGAAGTGTCCCTAATAACAAGACACACAATTACAATTGCAGTAATATTCCTAATAATAAAATATAGCAAAGCATTACTTTTAGCGCACATTTATTTATTACTTTTTACATGTGTTTTGTAGTGGAAGGGATCAGTGGGCTGTGTCTCTCTCTCTCTCTCTCTCTCTCTCTCTCTCTCCCTCTCTCTCTCTGTTGGACTTGTGGGTAAGGCGTGGGGGGGGGGTGGGGGGGGGCGCAGGAGAACAGCAATTTAAGAGTTCATTCATCAAGAACTAATTGAGGCCTGAGCACTCTGGAGTGCTGAGAGAAGTGTGTGTCTGTGCGTGTGGAGGATTCCTGCTCCTTAAGAAGTGTTTCCTGCTGGAAAAGGTTGCTCG